GAATCATGTGCTAACAGCTGTCTAAATAGCATGCTTGCTTTTTTTTGTCTGCTTCCACTTGTCTTTGCACTAGGATGATGTCGGTGTAAATGTGCAGTCATATTCGTTGTGTTCCCACTAGTGCTTTCAGGTTAATCTCGTTGAAATGACCTTAATGCCACAACACGGCAAATCTCCGTTAACGAGCTACCGCCGATAGCTCCGTGCATGGGGCTAGACGGCCAACACGTTAACGAGCTAACTGTGCTAACACACTAGCTCCCACCCATGTAATTGAGCATTGCATGGCACATCCAACATACTGTTTTACTTTAGTCCATGACTCGCTTACCTTCAGGGTCATACGTCACATGAAAACCAAAATAATTCCAAACGCCAGCTCTGAATGAGGGTGGGGGAGGTGCCCTGCCCTCTTCCTTCTGACGATGCTGTCTGTGTTGAGCGCTCAGTGGATCTGCGCTGGACAGTGCAGCCTAGGCGGAGTAGTCGAACGCAGATTCACTGAGCGCTCAACACAGACAGCATCGTCAGAAGGAAAATTGATAAAATAAATTACAAATGTTGTATTGTTCGATACATATGCGTACCGAACCGAAAGCACTGTATCGAACGGTTCAATATCGATACGAATATCGTTGCACCCCTACTTTATGGAGCTTCAGGTCCTTGAAGGGAATAAATGCCCTTTTACATGCCAGCCCAGCGTTTTCCTTCATCACCACGAAGGAAAACAGTCTGTGGTGGTTTGGTGATTTTTGTGTCGCAGGTTTATGTGCTTAATACAGGGACTTCCACAGCCTTTTCAACAGCACTGCGAACCGCGGGGGAGGGGGGGCAGTGTTTTGGAAATGACAGTCTTCACTAGTGGGGATAGTTACAAAGCTTTCTTCGTTATGAATTAGCATACATGTTTTTATTGAACATTTGAAGAACTGGCAAAAAAAACAAAAAAAAACTCTTATAGAGAACATAAAGTCAGAGATAGAAACGACAAGGAGCAGGTGCATCTAGTACAGGTAGAGCTGCTGCAAAAACCCACAGAGCTCAGCAGCCAGCGCCTTTGCTTTTAGTTAGCATTAGCAGCACATCCTGCATCCGATGTGAAAGGACCTTTATGCTGCGCACTGTGACTCACAGCCATGGTCCTGGGTCTGACTTTGTGTTAAACTAATCCTAAAGTAATAATGGTATTTCTAACCACTGATATACCACAACTTTACCCTTTCAACAGCTGCTGAAAGTTATGGGACCTCGCTTCTATCGGATATTTATATAGAGATCCTCCAGCTTCAAACTGTATTACCCTTCAAGGACCTGCAGTTCAAAAAAGCGCCCCTCCGACAGCCAAACCAATCTGTTCTCTGATTGGATAGTAAAATTTGTGATTGACATGACATTGACCAATCAGATGAAAGGAGGAAAAATAGGGTCAAAATTCGTTTTTGTAACTTACAGAGTTTCACACGTATTTATTTTGGCTAAGTCCACACACAAATTCTTTTTTTCACATATAAATCCTGATTTACAAGTACAAAACCGATTTACAAGTACAAAATATTTATGACCACAATTTGAGCCTATAGGAATGCTCTGATCTTTGCAAACTCCTCAAAAAACAGAAAGTTGGAACCCACTACTGCAACACCATGACATCACAGCATGCAGACAATAAGCTCTGATCTTCAAGTTGCAGGTATAAATAAATTCACAGTGCATATGGAGCTATGAGTCTGTGTACCCAAGTAGGTGCTCTGTAAATGTGATTACTATCAAATCATAACCAAATCAAATGTCATGTTAAAGCATCCACTAATCTTTTTTTTAGATAATAATAACAAATTTATGTATATAGATTTTTTTTAACATTATTACTTTATATTTGGGATAAAACCACACATTAAAGATTAAAGATAAGTATACATGTCCACACAGTCAAACATACAATCCTACATTCATTCTTGCATGCACACTTTCACACATACAAGAACAAGAGCTAAAAGTAAAGAGCAGAACGATTAAGAAAATGAGTCAAAATGAGTTTTCAGCAGATGTTTAAAATTAAATTAAGCCAGCCTGTTCCAAAGTGTAGGAGCTCCAACTTCAAAAGCGTGGTCACCTCTTAAAATAAAAGCATGAAACAGATGATCAGATGATTGGAGAGGCCAAATGTTGGAATAAAATCTCAGCAGGCCTGGTATACATGCCTGTCGTGTAGGTCTTTACATGTTATTAATGAAACTTTAAAATTCTGAATTTCCCAGGCTTGTTAGGAGCCTAGCTGCTGAGTTTGGGCCTGTTTGACACAGGCTAGTTTATCATTGAGGTTTGTTTTTTGTGATGTTTCTTAAATGAAGGCAACAAGACTGGATTAGATATGAGATTCAAAATGCAAATACTGATGAAACATGATACCAAGGCTCTTAGCAGATGATATGATATTGCTGGAGTGGGAGCCGGTGTAATGACTGACCTCCTTAGAAAAATTGTCAGGGTCGAACACAAGTACCTCAGTTTTGCCAGAAATAAGGTCTTTCCAAGCATCTGAAAAGATTACTTTTCTGTGAAATGCAGGCAGTGATGTTTGTTGGGTTATATCTAACTATTTATTCTAAAGAGACAACACAATTCAAGTTGAAGCTCCTCCTCGAGTTCCCTTTTATTCCACCAGAAAACAGTCTAGCTTGAGCTCTGACTCCTCTTCGAGATGAAAGAAACAAATCCCACAGCATTTTATAAATAAATACCACAAGCCTCACTCAGTATGATGTGAGGTTACCGTCTGTCCATACTGGGCTGCACATTTCCTTGTTTTTCCACTTGTCTGATCAATTCAAACCAAAAAGTCATCAATCACTCCCGACTCAATTCTTTGATGTCAGGGTGCCCATCTCTGAAACATCTCTGAAGCATCTCACTCAAGGGTTTTTTTTTTGTGTGTGTAATTTTTCAGACAACCCTTTGATCCCATTACGTACAGTTTTGATCCTCTTGGTTATTGCTTGTTTATTCCACAGTTGTTCCTGAACGTGCACCAGTGGAAAAAATTATAGTCCAAACTTAAGTGCTCAGTTTTCTGGTTATAGATATATAACCAGAAAACTGGTTATATATCTATAACCTATATAGGTTACCTGCTCTGATTACCTATATAGGTATAGGTTATAGATTATAGAAGACGATGCTTGTAGCATCCAGGGCTTTATTGAGCAGCTGCTGACCAGGCCAGTAACTGTGAAGTTGAGCTGGGTCAGTGGGGAAAAGATGAGAAAACACAGGCCAGATTGAAAGTGGTTTGAGGGGGGAGAAACTATGCTGCAGGTCAGGACTCCAAAGAGAAAACGGCAGATTTAAGAGTGACAGACTCCATAAAAAAGTAATTTAATTTAAGAGATTTGACAACTGACTTCACTAAACCGTCCTGACTCCAAAGAGAAAACAATACCACCGTAGAGCACCTTATATCACACTAGACTACTCATAAAATGGCTGAGTCAAGTGCAATATTGTACTGCACCTTCCTCCAAGTGCAGACTCAGAAGGTAAAACAATATATTTAGAGGTGACAGCAACATCCTGCTGCACCTTACACTGCTTGAATTCCAAACTTCTAAGTGAGAAGAGATTTAAGAGCAACAACATCTCAGTGCACCTCCCTGAAAGTCCAGGCTCCACCATGAAAACAGCTAAATAAAGAGCAACAGCAGCGTACTTAACTTTACAGCAAGTTCAGACTCCACAGATGAAACGGCAACAGCTTACTACATCTATGTTCAAGTCAAGGTGTAAAGAGAAAACTGCCAAAATCTTCCCAAACTTCACTCCAAACTCCACAGACAAACCACATAAATTAAGGGGAACAGCACATTCTTGCAAATTCAGACTTCACAAATGAAACATCACATTTAATAGCACTCAAACTTTGCTGTCAAGACTCCTTAGAGAAAACAACTGGTTTTATAGTGACATTTTTGTTCTCTCTCTTTACAGGTGAAGACAGGTCTGTATTCAAGTCTATGGGCAGGCTGATTGTTCACTTAAAACTTGAAAGTCCCTTTAGTGCAAAAGAAGAACATCTGCATTCAGGGGAGAGAAAAAAGTCTGGCACAGCAGGATCACCTCCCAATTATCCTGGTGTTCTTCCCTGGTTTTCATCGCTCCAGTGGGTAGAAAATCAGGATTCTTTGGTTTGTGAACATGGGGCTGACATCAATCAATCAATCCCAGACAGTAATTACAGTGATTGCCCCGAAACCGAAAGGTCACTGGTTTGATCCCAGCTCTGTCAACAGTCCTGTGCGCACAAATCTGAGACAAGACCTCTGAGGATCCAGATAAGAGCCTTACAAGAGCAGATTTATTGCGTAATGCGATCAGAAATGCTTTTTCCATGTTTTATGTTTATTTTAGCATTCATCTTTTCAACGCCAATCATCTTCTCCCTGCAAAAAAATGAAAAAAAAAAAATCTAGCTACAGAGTCCTCTTCACCAGATCGCATTATTTATGTCCCTGTAAGGGAAGTTTGGAAGCACACCACCATCAGATGATGCCTTCATAACAAAACTCGAATTACCTTTAATTAATATTAATCGTTTTATGAAATTACCTGGAAAATTAAGCTGTTAATCATGCCGAATTTCTGTTGCCCATTGCTGCAGTCGAGGAATGCATTGCAAGCTGCCATTTAATTTTGCCTGTGAAACAGCTTTGGATAAAAATGATGATGACATGAGATTTTCACACAGGCTAAATTTGTTGGGAAAAGACGAAAATTGTATGAAATTATAAACAGACCCGGTCTGACAGGCAACAGAATACGATGCAATAAGTATTTCGATTTTTGTTGAGGGAAAATAAAAGGAAAGCGAAGATTAGACATTAAAAGAAATTAAAAGAAATACTTCTGTTGTTTTGGCCATTCATTCTCCAATGAAACATATTAATTAAAAATAATTATAAAAATAATAAATTATTAATAATGATAATAATAAATATTCTTACCCAAACATGAGTTAACGAACCCATACCAAACGCACCCAGCGCGTCCGATCAACCACCGCCCCTGGGTGCTGGCTGCGAAGCTGAACGGAGTCCCCAGCACACTAACCAGCAGGTCGCTCGCGGAGATGCTCACCAGCATGAGATTCATGGGCGTGCGCAGAGCCCGGTACCGGCAGAACAGCGTGAGCACCAGGAAGTTACTGAGAAACCCGAAAGTGCCGATGAAGCCCAGGCACACCGCCACCACAAGGTGCCCAGTCGGGCTCAGGGACGGAGGGGGCAGGGAACCGGATACCTCCTCGTACGCGTCCGTCGCCTCAGTGCTGCAGGCTACTCCCTCGGGACAGTGCGCGCAGCTCAGGCTCAAGTTGGAAATTATCATACCGGGATGAGCCGCGAAGTTTGCACCAGTCGGAAGTTTGTACCTCGGGAGGGAACCATCCGGTCTCGGTGCTTTTCACTCATCTGGAGAGGCGAAGGCGTACGGATGTCTCCACAGTCTGCGCGCATGAAGGTAAGGCAAGGGGGTAATTTCTGTAAGTAATCTACTTTCTAGTCTGAGAGAGACACTTTGCGAATGAATGAGGAGAAGAGATGCTCTGTCCCGTTAGACCCGCCCCTCCACCGTGCGCTCCGGAGAGGTGCGCTCCTTTTCAGGCGCGGCCACTTAAGTGCGCCTGAGCTTTTATCACCCACAGCGCCCTTTAACGGGCTGGGAGACAAACACCTCAAACAAGAAGCGGTGGGTGGTGTTTGTATGTGTGGATGTGTAGTGGATGTGTGTAACAGGCTCGAGCCACGGTCACACCTGCACCATCAATCAACGCGTTACACAACAACATGTAGGGAAACAAACTTAAAAGCTGCGTGACGGGTGAAGGGATTCAGATTTGTCCTGATTTTTCTAACATATACGTGTAATTAAAAGGAATCACTCAGTTCTCATGTCAGGATTGAAACAGAAAATCCATAAGCTGTCTGACAAGAGATCAGTATGTTACAGCCTGAAGGGGGAAGGGCTCCATCCTCTTTTGAGCTCTCTGATCTGCTGGCTGATCACAGACTGATAACCGTGTTTGTATATTTATAATTTACATAGGGACCTATTGGTCACAGCTTGATTTCAAGGTCCAAAAGCTATGCTATGCTTTTGACAGCTAACTATCAAAAGCATTTTGATAGCACACTATCAAAAGCATGGGAATCAATGATACTGTCTCCAGCTCACAGCCTTCCTTTCTGTCAGTCAAGGGTTTCCTGTTGCTCTTGCTGTGCTTATTCTTAGATGCTGCGTCTGCTGTCTTTCCCTCTCCACTTTTGACAAACACACAAAGAGACATGGCATCATTTCAAAGGGAGTTCTTAGTAAGAGCGAACAGGAAAATGTGGCATATATGACTATTAGCAACTCGTGGTTAGAAAAATACACTAACAAGCACTTTGTTGCTATACTAATACTGGGTAGAACCTCCCTCTGCTCTCAGTCGGTCTCTGTGTCTTTGTGGATTCCCCAAAGATTTTGGGAATAAATCTTTGAGGTTCTGCTCCATGTTGACATGATTCCGTCATATACTTTCTGCAGATTTTTCAGATGTCAATCTCCCATTCGTGCGCATCTCAAAGCTGTCTGCCAGATCCAGATCTGGATTGAAGGGAGGCTGCTGAAGTCTGAGGAACTTTCGTTTTTTTTTTTAGATATTCATCATCCTGCAGGAAGTAGCCATTAAAAGGTGGTAAGTGAGTTACTCAGGAGCTCAAAGTGTGCCAAGAAAGCTGAATTCACTGTTCTGGTCTCATTTATGTTTTTTCCTTTGGCTTTTACTTATTTTGCTTTTGTGGTTTGGTTTTTCCGCCCATTTTCCTGTGACTTATACTTTTCTCTGTGGCACCCCCTGTTTGTCTTTGAGTTTCTTTCAGTCTACCTCATCCTCATTAGTTTTATCTGTGTTCACATATCTGTGCATTTATCATCCCCCTCTTCTGCTTGTTTTTTTTCTTTCTTGGTCTTGTGTTTTATTAGTTCCCCCCTTCTGAGGTTTGTGTTTTCCAAGACTTTTTATGTAAGTTCAGTGAGCTTTGTATTAACCCATAAGAACACAGACCCATTTCTCCTCAAAGGTTGTGAGTGAAATGTAGACATGCCAATAGGGTCTGAAAATGGCTGCCACAATGGGACAGCTTGTTTCATTTTCCCAGTACGGATGGTTTCTTGGCATTTGGCACAGACCCATGCACAGACAGAGGCCAGTCAACATGTTGCTGTGACTTTCAGAGATTGTACAAACGTGTCTGTTTCTTCAGTAACACAAAGATGTCTGCTGTTTTGACCTTTGTGAACACTCCAGGGGAGTATGGACATCATCTGAAGGTGTGAAACTCAATTCTTTGAATTTAAGCACTCAGGGGTCTCAGAAGAGGAATTTCTCCAAGAAAATAGTTTTCTGTATATTTTTTTCTTGGAATCTTAAGTTTTGCTGCCCAGGATACTTCATCACAATCGATAAACACTATCCATCAATTATCTCCCGCCTATCAAATTCAAGGTAGCAGGGTGGACTTGAGCAGGTCGCCAAACTATCGCAAGACTAACACAACAGTTCACACTCACCAATTTAAAATAGCTAACTAATCTAACTCGACACGCCTTTGGAACTTAAGTCAGGAGTTCGACTGTATCCGGTAAGGCTAGACCCCCATGCTAACTTTAGATATGAGGGAGAGAGAGAAAACTGAAGCCGTATAGACTCAGACGTCGCCTGGATTAATATGGTCCGTGTTAGGTGTTGAGGAACCAGGACACAGTGATGAGAAGTGGGCTCCTGGCACAAGTGGGCAAGAGATGAGAACAGGGCGCTGTTGGAATGCTACTATGCAAGTATCCCCAGCGGAAGGAGTTACATGAATAGGATACGGAGAAGGAGTACGGAAAAGGAATACGGGAAGCTTGAGAAGTACCAAGGGCTCAGAGAAGAGCTCCCTTTAAGGCTGGGAAATATCGTGATAATAGTTACCGACTAGTCTAGAAACTCATCATATCTCAAAAATAAACCTTTTTTTTAAATGAACCTTTTTGTTTAACTGACTCTGAGTTCCTGATCAGAGTTTGCCACTTGTGTACATGATCTCTGTCCAGAAGCTTTGTGATGATGGAACAACAGCCAGTGAAGGAATCAAGATCTACACATGTATTCTGACTCTTTGTGTGTGTGTGTGTGTGTGTGTGTGTGTGTGTGTGTGTGTGTGTGTGTGTGTGTGTGTGTGTGTGTGTGTGTGTGTGTGGATTGTTGCTTTGGGTTCATAGTTGATCACCTGTGCACACTGAGACACAGCAATCTGTTTCTTTTGACCTCTGCGTGTTTGTACCTCTGATTCTAATAAGGTGAGTCCGAGGAGAGATTGGATTTGGCTGTATGCTACCAACCCAGTCAGAGGTTAGAAAAGGGTGCTTGTACTTTCTGTGCTGCTTTTTCCATTTGGAAAACAATTTTTTTACTTTTGACTGGGTGGGCAAGACGACAGGTCATTTGGCTGAGCCCACCCCTACCTGTAATTAGATACCAGAAAAGGATGTTTGATACTGATACTGGTATATTGGCATCACGTATCCCAGAATGACGAGAGTGGCATAAATAGACCAGAATAGGGGTGCACTACTCAAAGACACCTGGCTTCAATTAAGCCACTGAAGCAGAGGCAATTATGTGAACCCCCCCCCCCCCACACACACACACACACACGCAGAATCTCTCCAAAAGCAGTGCCCATTAACTATAAGGCAAGTCAGTGTAAAAATGATGCATCTCTACCTTTCTACTTGTCATGGACCGACTCATTAGACATAAAAAAATGACAGGAGAGGCGTGGATTTGCAAGTAAAGTAGATAACTTTATCTAAAAAAACACACACAATGAGTCAGTCTTATCAGTTGGGCCAAACCTAATCAACAAGCCAACCAACGATGGTGCAGGGAGAATGGACAGGTGCTCCAAGGTGCACTGATGCACTCCACCTGAAGGGACCTGCACAGAAACAAAGAGACAGGGCAGAATACACTGGGGCATCACACCTGGTGAGAACAACAATACTTATATTTGAAAAACACTTTATCTTAAGTGACAAATTTATTTATAGTTACAGGGTACGCCTCAGTTTCCATCTCATTTCACAAAAGCTGACATCATGTAGCGATACTAGAATTATTTGCACATCAAGATGGTAATCAGTATCAAGACTTTCATGCATTTACACAAGATACTAATAATGTTGTTTTTTCCTGGTAAGGACTGTCATAAAAAAGACTCTTCTACTTATTATGCAGGGAACGGGTGCTGTTGCTCCCCCGCTCTCTCATGTCTTTGTCTCTTTCACTCTTCCTTTGATTTCTAAGGTAACCTTGCCAACAGGTGCTCTTCAGTAGGAAAATGAATTATTAATTAGACAAAATTTGATAATTTAATGAAATTTGCTTCATATAAAAATCATCAAAACTTAAATACAGGACCTGTTCCCAGCACTTTAATTTTATTTAAACTTTATGAATATAGTCAGGAACTTCTTTTCAAGTCTGAATTAATAATAATGGAATTTTTTAATGTGTGATTAAAAATATTACTTTATGCCTGAACTTGTTAGAAATATTTCCCACTTTAAGTTTAAATTTGAATCCAAAACTGCCACCAAAGTGCTCTAAACCTTTAAAGAATTTTCAAATGATTTTCAAATTTGTACCGTTTATGAAATGCTTCAAGTGAAACACATTTTTTTTAGAAACCATTTCATTTATGTGCAAAAGCCTGTTTCTTTGCATATGTGTGTATGTGTGTGAGAGATGAGGAAAATCTGCCAGCATGAGGTTTGCTGACATTCAAAGAAAATCATCAAAGCTTTAACTTGTGAGTCAGAATCAAAGGAAACCTGGTGTGGCAACCAAAACCTTTTTCACTTCTAAACCTGACGTTTTCGCAAAGCTAAATCAGGGCGATTCACAAGTGAAGTGAATATCAGTCAAACACACGTTTTAGGAAAACAAGACAGTTTTTGTCTGATGGTGTCTGGCTTGGTGAAGCAGAAATCAAACCAGTGCAGCCACTAGACGCCCACATTCTGTCACTCTGGTGTGACTCTATTTTAAACTGAGTGATGGCCTTTGTTAGCGAAGACACAGAAGAAAGCTGAAAATATTCAAGGGATGAAATAAAAGGGGGGAGATGCTTGCAAGCTATAGAAACACACAATACTCAAGTCAGTCTTGATCATAATTCAACAAGTGAATTAAATGATTCCCTGATTCACTGACACACTTATTAAAGAAATGCTTAGGTGCTAATTGAGTGGCTGGCTTTCAGTGATTAGAAAGACCAATGGCTTAGACATGTAAATATTGTACATTTAAGTAGTAAATAATCAAGATGAACTTAGATTACTCAGTACTGATGAGTGATCTGGACAAAAATATAGAAAAAAAACTTTCTTTTTGTCCT